GGAATGAGGTGTGGATGCAACGGCCAGATTTAGGTATTGGCCCGTATGGCGGCTATGGCGGTTGGCAAGCAGTGGATGCAACGCCGCAAGAGCCCTCGGATAGCATGTACCGTGTCGGCCCGGCCTCGGTAGTTGCAGTGAAGAATGGTGAAATATTACGTCCTTTCGACTGTGGTTTCGTTTATTCGGAGGTGAATGCCGACAAGGTATACTGGCGTTACAATGGCCCATATCAACCCATAAAGTTACTGCGTAAGGACACCTTGGCAATTGGGCATTTAATCAGCACAAAAGCGGTGCTCAAGTGGGAACGCGATGATATCACCGATACGTACAAGTACGAAGAGAAGACTGATGAGGAACGCAATACGATGTTAAAGGCATTGAAGCAATCGCAGAACGCTTTCAGTCGCTACTACTTGAATGACAGCTTCAATGAGGTGGAGTTTGATATGTCGCTGAAGGATGACATCAAGATCGGCGAGAGTTTCACGGTAATAGTGAAAATCACAAATAAATCCAAGGATAATGTGCACGTGGCGAGCGGGCAGTTAAATTGCGATGCAGTGCTATATACAGGCATCAGCGGAGAGGAGGTTAAGACGATGCCCTTCGAAATAGAATTGAAGCCAGAAATGTCTGAATTTGTGCGAATGGAAGTGCAGTTTGAAGAATACTTTAGGAAATTGACATCACAGGTGAGTTACTTTATAAGACCTTGTTTTTAAATGCTAGGACCTAATCCTACCTATTTAGCCATAGAAAAAACAATTTCACCTTAGAATTTGCTGAAAACTTAATTATGATATTCAATATTGTCATTATTATCGACTCAATTATCGTTACCAATGACGTTAACGGCATTTTTATCGTGTATCGCTTTTTTTTAGTAGAAGCCACTTTCATAGTTGTTTTTATGATATTTTCCTTTAGAGACCTAACCTTGTATTTGCCCTTGCCGACCTAAGATCCTATCTCCTTCCCCAATAAATGCTTTCACGGTAAATGATTTTCGCTCTAAGTCTATCCACTCGACAATAGTAAATCTCAAAGAAGACCAATTGAGACCGCAAAATAGTTCCGGCCCACAGAGACAATTAGCCTTCCCTTGCCAGTTCTTTGGCAAGCTGGTTTCCATATATCCTGCAGTGGCCCGGTAGACAGCATAGTGTTACCATGCTTCTAGCTGCCAAAAATTTGACGAGTCATTCCTTACGATGAGGTTCTGATGGCCGCTTGGCTGCCTCAAAAGCTATCTGTCACAGATCGAGATTGCTAGCACCTCGGTCTGAGAGACTGAGAACCATCTGCCACCGTAATAGAGAATCCGCCTGTCTTGTGCTCCATATTTTACCCGTCTTCTCGGTCTGGAATTTTGACCTAGAATTTTGTGCCTGAACACATTTATTTTTGCTTGAGAAATTGTGTGAAACGTTTCAATTTTTAACTCTCTCAAGTCTGACGCTACTTAAAAAAAAATATTAAGTTGATCCTATGACCGAAAAGTAGACAAAGGTAGACTTGGAATTTTTTAAAACGTGGTTTGCATAGCATTTTTTTCTAGTGATTTGGCCACCAGACGAGAAGGCTTTGGCGAAAATGGGACAGACTATATGGTATAGCCATTCTATTAACATAGAGTTCAGACCCAATGTCCTACCAAAAAGTAGTCCACAGGTTCACTTGGCTCGGGCGGCTTTAATAAGAGTTTCACCTTAGTGTATTATTCAGCAGAAATCCAAGATATTTTACTTCGTCAAAGTGTTTAAACAAGGCAGCACAGCTTTGGCGGCACTCGCTAGCTCTCCACTTTGATACCTTAAGCTGGATGACCAATTTTGGAATAAATAAGACGTATATTTTCCTTTTTATCGTTGTACGCATTCAAAAAGGCATGAAAAAATATTCGCTCGGCAAAATATGTGGCCGCTCCTTCGGACGAACATATTTTAGGTCTACATAGCTGTCATTAGGCCCATTAAGCTCTACGGTCCTTTGGTATGGTGATGTACATAGTATCAAAGGTATGCTTAATCATGAAAAATTTAACGAAGATATCGCACTGTGAAGACAGGCTACCAAATGAGCGGCTGATCACTCTATTTCGTTCTTCGGTCCAAATTTTAAAGGTGGATTCACGTTATTAAGGAGCCAGATGATTGGTATACGGGGCTTCGGTCCCATCTGCGCACCTATAATTTCTTTAAAATTATTGAAGGGAAAATGTATGCTTATTTATGATAGGCTTCAGTGAAAAGCAGCGTCTGTTTATAACGAAACGTCAGATGTCAGATCCTGAGCGCTCCTCGGGACTGGTTAAAAATTTCGAACCAAACTGTTTAGGTCGCAGACTCGCAAAAGCTACTTAGCTTAAGGAAGAGTACTGAAATGATCTCACCTAATCGTTGTTTAAGCAGCTGGACCCGAGATATTTACGCTCACCGCATGAATACCAATCGGATATCGTCCAGTTAGTATATATCCCAGAATTGATATGTATACCGTCTCCGGTCAAATTTGGGCTAAAATTATCATGAAATTTCAAATGTCCTCGATTTTTTCGAGCGATCTCTGGGCGGATACGGGAGCCACCTATCCAAAAGTTGTCCATATATAGTAAATGATACTCACAGTCTCCCTTTTCTCTCTCTTTTTCCAATCCAAATATGAAAAACACGCCTTAAAAATAACACTTTGTTCTTTACCTTTTAGGCCGCTTTCAATATTTCCTGTGCTGCCAAGGTGAAAGGTACCGAATATGAATACTACGCACAGGATGACTTCCGAGTACGCAAACCGGACATCAAATTCACATTCCAAGGAAAGATTATTTCTCAGCAAGCAGTAGATGTGATTGTACGCTTAACAAATCCGCTACCCATACCACTTAAAAAGGGTTTGTTCTATATTGAAGGACCCGGTATCGAGAAAGCGATGAGATTTAAGGTAAATGACCAACAGGAGTAATCTAATTGATATCAACTTACAGGCTATGCTCAATGCGAGTTGTGTCATGTACATAGCCACTACATATTTGTGAGNGATTGCTCGCACTACAGGTTATGCTCAATGCGAGTTGTGTCATGTACATAGCCACTACATATTTGTGAGTGTTGCATTTATTTTTTATATCTCTTTGCAGATCGCTGAGATCCCAGTCGGTGGCACAGCTGCCTCAACGTTCAAATATGTCCCACCTTATGCGGGACGTGGTACACTTCTTGCCAAATTCAATTGTAAAGAACTCGATGATGTGGATGGTTATATTCATTATGAAATTGAGCCCAGACCTGAAGATGTTATCAACAATGGAACACATCGATCGCACAATATCATACGGCGTAGAACCGATGTGATAGCATGAAGAGTTTATTGAATAGTTGTTGTATATTTTATGATGAAAGTTATCGGATTTATTTACAAAGTTGAAGTAATCTCTCAATAAAACCGAAAAGATTTTTTATTTATTCAACATTTTAATTTTGATGTGTAAACATCTTAGCATCCGTATTGGTAAAATTTGCGTTAACCCAGCAGAAAATTTGTAATAGCTTCGGGTGTGTACAAATGTACATTTCTGGACTAGTTTAGGTCTATTTCAGGCCCATTTCGGAATCAAATCATTACTATCTATTTAAGGACAATTTCGGAACCTGTTTAGGACTATTTCGGAACTAGTTCTTGACTATTTGAGAACTAGTTCTGGACTATTTCGAGACTATTTGAGAAACATTTCGGGACTATTACGGGGTAATTATTGGCCTAGTTTATGACCATTTCGGTATTAGTTCAACTCTATTTAGGGAATATTTTGAGACTAGTTTGGGATCATTTTGGGACTAAAAAGGGTCTCTTTCGATACCGTTTCAGGACTATTTAAGGACTGTTTCGTTACTAGTTTGAATTCATTTCGGAACTATTTAGTACAGGACCATTTCGAATACGGAATAGTTCACGCCTATTTCAGGAACATTCCGGGTGTAGTTTGGAACTGTTTTGGGTCTAGTAAGGGACATTTTCGGGGACTGCTTCGAGATGCTTTCTGGACAAGTTCACGCCTTTTTTATAAACACTTCAAAACTTCTTAGGCATTAGGTCAGGATCTTATCGGGGTAGTTCGAAACTAGTTAAGAAATGAAATTTCTAACCTAACCTATTTATGTACATTATGGTGCATCACTCTCTCACAAAAAATTGGTGCTATTTTTCCGTCGGAATTTTAAATTCTATTATATTTTAAGACTTCCGCCGCAATATTTTGAAAATACCTTCAAAAATCGAGTTTTTTATAAGTAAATCTAGTTTTTTAAAATAATTTTTCTAAAAAATTTCCTCAGCTCATAGAAAATATTAAGCTTACTAGGTCTGCATACCAATTAATTTTTTTAAATGGGTCCAGCCCACGTAAATATTGATATCTTTTCGAAATCTTTTGGCCAAAGTCTTAAAATATAATCTGCCTTATCGTGAGTTTCGCCCGAAATTTTCTATTCCCCCCATAGTACCCAAATACATGGAGACCAAAAGTGAAAAGCGAACCGGTTCGGGGAAAATGAAACTCATGATAACACTGAATAAGTTTTATGATTCCGGTGGAAAACCCGTTACTTTTTCTGGTGATGCACCCTAATGTACATATGTAAATGAATCGCCTTATGCTTTGTCAAGCTGTACATAGATGTTTACACATCAAATTTTAGGAGTGTCTGGTACTAACGCCTTTTTTATTTTCTAAAACATCATTGAAGATTTTATACATCCTTGTGTATTTTTACTGATACCCTAACTATTTATTTAAGTAATTAAGAAAGAAAAAAGCATTTTTGTATCGTATTAGACATTTATTTAATATTGATTGTAAAATAAAATTTAAATAAAGTATTTTGCGTAAATAATACTATATTGTTTGTGCAAGAACAAAGTATTTTTTTTTTAATTTTTACTTTTTTTTAATCCATAGCTTACATATTCTTTTTGTTATACAGATCATTTACATTTTTTTAGCCCTCCATGCCAAGCGCGAAATTTGGTTTATCCGCCGTTTTTACTGAATATATACCGCGGGCATTTTGCAACACTGGATCTCCCATTAAAATTCGTTGTCCAGTGCAATTCATAGCCTTAGCATCGACTACAGAATTGCAAGCGGTAGCTAGGAACCCCGTTTTGCTATTAATGGACTCGGCAAAGTATTCACACGAGCGACCATGACTGCAGCCAGCTGTGAAATGGTTAAAAGAAAAAAAAAATTTTGTGAAAACAAATTAGAAATCAACTATAGGTTAGGTTAGGTTCATCTGCTTTAGTGGGAAAAAAAATCTAAAAATTCTTTGTGTGCCATATGAACGTGTTTTGTATTTTTGTAAAGGTAATTTATTCACTAAAAAGAATTAAACCGAAATTTCTCTATACATAGAATTAATTATATACCGTCAAGAAGCCACTAAAGTTAACAAATTTAATATTAAAAATTTTTATGAGAGCATAGTTAAGCGGAAAAAATGTCAAAAATACATGCTTACATCCAAGGCACATTAAACAGGTAGTATCAGTAGAGCAAAACAACATTTGCGTGTATTTTGTTGTTGCTTCTGGTATCGAAAGTGTCAACTAAGGGTGGGTAACTCAGCAAATTTATAGGAGTTGACTCAATGACTCCAACTCACTTTAAGGAGTCAGCTCATTCAACTAACTCATTTGACTCTTTGTATGTTACACTCATTCNATCATACAAAAGTTTAAGCTTGAAAGGTCTGCACAAAAATGTTTAACAACTTAATCAACGGAATCAAAATAATAAGATATTTGTGGCATTTTCAAATATATCCAGTTCACGTAAATCTTATTATTTTTCAGAATATTTTAGAAGTCGATTTTTATTATTTTTTGTTTGGGAGAGTGATGCACCCTAATATATAAATATATGAAAAATAAAAGTGAGTGATAATTTTACGTTTCCTGAGTTTTGAACGAAATTATGCTAAATTTACTCACTAAATATTTGCGCAGGTTGATTACAGCCTGGCTGGAAAGCGCCTCCACCATTTGGATAGAAATCTACGACCCCAATCGGTTGCTTGTACCCCAAAATACCCGCACAGGTGTGTATGACATCAACAAATTCAGCATCGGTTACATCGAGATGATTCTCAGGACCAGTGCTGCCCTCAAAAGCGGGACGTGCGGGATCCAAACCTACATAAATACGCATATGCATACATACAGGGGCGGGAATATAAATAGGGACGCGACATTTGACCAAGTTTTGGCTATTTTTCTTTTGTTTATTTAATGTTTTTTTTTGTTTTAGAATACAGCTCGTTGCCAAAAATCCGTAAGTCTGAATTTCAACAAACTTTGTACAAAAATTTCGAAATTTCGGCAAAATTTTAAATTTTTTAATCAGAATTTTTAGTAAAATTATTAGTATGCATTAATTTTAATTCAATAAATTGCATGTTCCAAGTTGCTCAAAAATTTCGCCGAGTTTTGATATTTTTTTGATATATTTTTTTTTACGCTGTCACGCTTTATCTTCCATACAAAATATGGGCTACAAAAGTGCATTCCAAAATTTTTTCTAAAAATTAAATTTTCCTAATTTTTGTACACAGTTTAAAATCCTGACTGATATGGTTTTTGCTTGATAACGAGCTATACATTCATAAAAGAGTATTAAACATAAAAAAACAAAAATGATAATAAATAGCCAAAACTTGTTAAAATGTCGTGTCCCTATTTATTTTTCCGCCACTGTACAAGTGCAATTGAAATCTACAGGCGTTTCTCGCGCAATCGATATGCTCCCCTACTCACCGGTAATACGTCCAAGGCGATATTTCGTATACGAGCCAGCATAACCCATTATATGCGCCCCCAAACTGTGTCCTATCAAATGTATGCTCTTCGGATCGGCATCTTTCTCTTCCACTAGTAAATCAATTAATTGCGCCACTGCTCTACCCACTTGTACTGTATAACGCGCCGGTTCAAGATAGTAAATATTATCCGCTTGATCGCTCCAATTTATAGCGAATACATTCACATTACCACGTTCGGTGTAAGCGTTGCGTATAGCTTGTATGGAATTACTGCGTGAACTCGACTTCCAGCCGTGTACCAAAATTTTCGTATTTATATCGGGTTTAAATCTATCGGCTAGCTCCTCCCAGGTTTCACGTTTGCGTCGGCGAGTGGTACTCGTCGTGGGGCCTTCGAGTAGCGAAAAAGCGGTCGTTACTGGTTTGTCAGGGTTCGAGCTGGTGAGTAAAAGTGCATAGGTATGCAGTAAATATGAGCAAAAATGTGCGATGAATGATTGTAGAGCGCGCTAGTGCATACCTGTCATAAAATTCAAATTGTATAAATTCGGATATTTCACTACGATCGTGTTCGGCTGGCGGTTCAACCAAATAAGCCACTTCCATTTCACCCTCGCCGTTGGGCATATACATCCAAGTCTTGTTGTAGTCCTCATCTCTAAGTTCCACTTCAGCGTGCGCTACAGCTGGATAGACGAAAATTATTTAATAGTAAAGATCACGCTTGTTGTTTTTCTTTCATCACTTACCAAAAGCAATTAGGTACACAGAAATTCTTAGGATCCAATTCATACTTTCACCATAAAAACGAAAAACATGTTGAACATTTGAGCTTAGGTTTTAACTGTTCAAGCCTACTTTTTCAAACGCTTAAATATATTTTGGTTGGCTTTGCATTTCTTCGTGTTAAGTTTTTGCTTTGTGGCGGCATATCTACGCACTTATCGTCGAAAAGAAGGTTCAAAGGGTTCATAGCACTTTTCAATTGCATTTTCGTAATGACTATTTAGCATTTAAATGTTAATGGCTTGATTGTGGATAGCAAACATCAATCAAATGTCAACGTTGTCCATTGCAAACGCTTTACACTGCACTACAGTTAGTTAGAAGCGAATGTTGCATTCAAAAAGTGCATTTATCAAATAAGACGGCGGGTGGGCAATGCTGTTTAATATGTATAGTATTCCCTATGCGCGGTACAAGCGAAACATCATAGAAAAAAAAAACAGAAATAAAGAAGTTCCCAATGCATTTTATAATAAATTTCTTTTGGCCTTTGTTGTTGTTGTGTTTGTAGCGGCACTACTAAGCATCCCCTAAGTTGGTTGATCCATCAATCATTGTCGTCAAGCTCAACCAACGGTAGCCTTAGGAAACCAGCTGTTTCGACGTGGTTAGACTGGAGGGAAAGAGGTGTTAGCTGAGCAAGTTCGAGTTCACATATGAAGAGGTTTATGGTTTCATGGGGTGTGTCTCCACATGCCGGACACTCGTTGGAGTCGAGTCTGAATAAGTTGCCGTTTAGGCAGCTGCAATATCAAGACCATAGTTGGGCCATAGTGACGCGTGTCTTACGTGCAAGTCGAAACTATGAGTCTGCAACAGGTGTAGATTCATAGGTCAGCCCCTCTGAGTGCCATTGATCACTCGTCGATGCGTCATCGGCCCAGTGGTTGGTCGACATAAGTTTGGACTGCGGTGGACCACATTATTCTTGGTCCCATGCTGCACCAACCGAACCGCCTCCCCGGCACACCATAGTTCAGCTGAGCAACACAAAACTAATTCGACCACCCCCAACACAGAACAGCCATAGAAAGGCATACCACACACACAACCACACTCCCACCTACACCCCGCCGCCAACAGTTCATAGTTCCTCACACAATCTACTCGATGTGTCAGTCCAGGATATACCGTAACGTGACATCAGTCAAGTGACTTGGCTGGTTCCACTTTCGGGCGTGTTCAGGACTGCTCATGACGTGCGATTGAGCGAGCAACTTCGTGGGCCCTAGCTGTACTATACCATCGCAAATCCCTCTGCAATGCTGGCCACTACCACCACAAGGAAGCATCCCCAACAGAAGCACACACATCAATTGGCCGGCAGGCAATACCACAAATCACTCACGACCCATATTGCGATGTCTCACAAGGCACCCCAAGATTCTACAGTTCAACTGCAACGGACTTCAGAGCAAGATTGAGGAGATAACCGACTGGACATGGATTATTGATAGCTGCGGTCCAAGCGACGAAGGTGCTCAGCAACTAAACATTGTTGAGCTGCGCTGAAGCAGCTGACATAGCAACTGTAAGCGCTGATCTGATAAACAGCATAACGTGGCGACCTATGCTGACTCTAGCATCAGATCATCTGCCAATAGTCATATGGAACGATAAACCTGTCGACTTTGCTTCCGAGTAACATCGAACCTACGTAAACTTTAGTAAAGCTGAATGGAACGGCTTCGAGGAAGTTACTGAAAGTACCTTCTATATCCTTCCCACACCAACAGACGTTTGCATAAGTGAGCGTAAGTTCCGCAGGGTTGTCACTGCTGCTGCAGCCCGCTTCATTCCCGCCGGATAACTTTCGGACACCCGTCCGAATTTTTCAGCTGAAGAGGCTGACAGCCTTCGTCAGGCCGATCCAGGATGTCAACACGGAGGTTCAGCAACTGGTGAACTCACGCAAACGGAAGAAGTGTGAGGAGAATCTGAAGTCTTGCAACTTCACCTCTGGTTTGAGAAAGCTTTGGTCAACCGTGAGGTCACTTTCCAATCCGATGAAGCCGGAGCGATGCGAGAGATATTTTAGCCGACAGTTAACGCTGTATCCTCTGATGGACAAAGCCAAACGTGGAGTGACCAGAAGCTGCACAAGCTTCAAAACGCAGTGCACCTCTTGCTTTCACCAGCAATGAGGTTCAGGTAGCCATCGGGAAGCGAAAGCCTCCAAAGCCATAGGACCCGATGGAATATGCATGCTGTTGTTGAAAAACTTGGGTCCCGCAGGAGTAGATAATCTCACTAAGGTCCTAAATCTGTCTAAGGCCACCTTCATCGTTCCAGATATCTGGAAAACGGCATCCATATGAACTCACGGAGGTTCATAAGCAAAACTCTGGACCCGACAGTATACTGACAGGCCATAAACGGCATTCACGCGGTGTCGGTCTCCAATTGCACCGACTCTAGACCTGTGAAAGCCGTTTTCGGAACAAAACCACCTGACGTAGATAAGAAAGACCATCGTCTGACTCGGGAGACTCGCACCCCCATAGCCCAACTTCGCTATGGCTTCTTCGAATGACCCCAAAGGCCCACTCAAGTAACACCCCTGTCTCTATGAACTAACCCAGTTGGAGTTGCACACTTTTTTGGTCTCCTGTTAGCTAAGCTTGACGACAACGATTTTGGGACCAGTCGATCTAGGAAGAGTTGAGTAGTCGCTACAATATCAACAACAAGTCCTTGGCCAAATATATATTTCAAGGCAATTGGCCGGCCAGTTCTAAACTATGCAGCGCCAGTGTGGCCGCCTGGGACTACCAGGACGTAGTTGATGAAGCTACAGACCTGCCAGAATACGGCACTTCGGACAGCGACCGCATGCCTTCTGATGTCGCCCCAACACCACCTTCACGACGAGGCCCAGATGCTCCCAATCAAGGAGTATAACACAATGCTCTGCAAGCAGTTTCTTGTGGGGAGCCAGAGACGTGGTCATCCAAGCAAACAGAAGAACCCTCGCCAGGGCACGTCAGGAGGCATCTCTACGAATTGACGGACGAGGTCCAGAGGTTCATTAAACAACTTCTGGACCCGTCAGCTTATCGACAGGCCCTGAGCGACATTCACAGGGAGTCGGTCTTAAGTTATGTAGACTCCCGCCCTGTGAATGCCGGTCTAGGCACACAGCCACCTGACGTGGACGGGACAGAACTCTGTCTGCCTCGGGAGACCCGCACCACAATAGCCCAACTTCGCTCTGGCTATTGCAGCAGGCTAAATTCATACCTGAGCAGAATTAATGAGGATGTGCCCAACCAATGCCCGGTATGTGGAGGGTCGCCACATGACTCACAGCACCTCTTAACATGCCCCGAGAACCCCACCCAGCTGACGCCCCTATCCTTATGGACAGACCCTGTCGAAGTCGCGCACTTCCTAGGCCGCCCCTTAGCTGAAACGGACGACAACGTCGACGAATGAACCGACCCGAGCGGGGTTTAGTAGCCGCTACAAGAACAACAACGTTCGCCAAGGGTGCGGATATTTCAGGTGCATGCTCTCAAATTTTAGTCCTTCATATCTTTGCCGTGGTCGTCATGGAAATAGGGGGTCTAATACGAGGCTGAATTGTTCCTCTCATTAACATTTGTTTTTACGTGGCGGGTCCCAAGCCCAGCGCACAACCTATTGTAGTGGGTTTGTTTTCTCACATTACCTCGCTTCCAAACATGTGTGTAAACACCGAAATCTGCTGAAATCTGAGGAGCCCTCGCCTAGGCACGTCAGGAGGCATCTATACGAACTGACGGACGAAGTCCAGAGGTTCATCAAGCAGCCTCTGGACCCGTCAGCAAACCGACTGGCCCTGAACGACATTCACAGTCTCGAGTTATGTAGACTCTAGACCTTTGAATGCCGTTCTAGGCACACCACCACCGGACATAGACGAGACGGAGCTTCATCTGCCTCGGGAGACAAGAACCACAATAGCCCAACTTCGCTCTGGCTACTGCAGCAGGTTAAACTCATACCTGAGTAGACTGAATGCAGATGTGCCAAATGAGTGTCCGGCATGCGGAGAGACCCCTCATGACTCGAAACATCTCTTCGCATGCCCGGAAAGCCCGGCAACACTAACGGCTTTGTCCCTGTGGACCGACCAAGTGGAGGCTGCACGCTTCCTAGGGCTACCGTTAGTGGAATTTGACGACAACGACTGAGATATCAATCGATCTGGGCGGGGTTGCTGTAGCCGCTACAACAACAACAACAACAACAACCGAAATTTGATTGTACTGAATGCAAAAAACGCCTTTCGCCTCTCCCTGGTGAATGATGCTCAAAACCGTACGTTATATTCATCGATTCAGTGCCAAATTTGCACCTTTTAGAAAATCTCCTAAGTAAATCGCACCGATTTCAAAGCTTACAACTTTCAAAACATGCCTGAATAACTTCAAATCTATTTTTATAAGTTTAAAATTTAAATTCATAATGAAGCTTGGCAACCCGCTAAACATGAAAACTGCTTTCCAAACACTTCCAACGCTGGCGTATAGTTAGCAACCCTGCCCATTTTCACTGTACAACAGCAACACTGGTTTGAGTTTTTTTTATTGTGCGTCATTCTTCCTTTGCTTTGTGGATTTTTGCATGCGCTTCAATTTTGTTTCTCGACTTTTCGCGGCATAAATTCGTCACCGACAAAAATAAACTACATTCCTAGCATAAAAAGATAATCGAAATGGCTGGAACTTCACAAAAATACAGAAACTTTGTGGCCGAGCCGATGGGCAACAAATCTGTGACAGAATTGGCTGGCATTGGTGAGACGCTAGGAGGACGCCTAATTGAGGCTGGATTTGATAAGGTTTGTGATGCTGCTAATGCGGAGCTTCTAACACCACAACTATATAGTATATGTACAACAAAGTTTTGAATTAGTTTAAACTATCAAACACATTTTGCTTTTTGTTAATCTAACCCGCGTTATTTTGCAGGCCTACACCGTGCTTGGTCAGTATTTGATACTCAAAAAGGACGAGGAGCTGTTCAAGGACTGGATGAAAGAAGTATGCAATGCAAGTTCAAAACAGGCGTCTGATTGTTACAATTGTTTAAACGATTGGTGTGAAGAGTTCCTGTAAAAATTTAACCATTTCCATAACAGCTTTTTTACTAAAAATAATAACACGCACCAATTATGTGCGTGAGACTCGCATACAGTGCGTTTAAGAAATGTTTTTCGAATTTTATGATCTTTTGTATCAAAATCACTTTTTATATAAGTAATATCTAAATGTAATTTATAATACACGTTTAAATGTCTTTTAAAATAGCAATTAACTATGAAAATGTATCAAAGTAAATCACTTGCGCAAAGAATTGTCAGTTGTGTAGTAGCCGTTAAATTCATTGATAGTCACCTTGAGTTCCAATTAGTGCAATTGGTGTTTTCAAATAGTTTAAACGTTACCTAAATATAAAAATAAAAACTGAAAATACATACCACCAACTATTCCGTCGACGTTTCGTTCAATTCTGTGGGGATTGGCACATTCGTTCGTTTCCTCTGTGGTTAGTTGAATTCGTTTTTTTTTGTATTTTCATTTAAAAATAAATAATGGCTTGTTCGAGTTGCAATCACACCGCAGTTCGGTGTGAATTTATAGCAACGTTTTATCAATTCGGAAGTTGCAACAGTTTTGGAAATTTTCATCGGCGCTGCGGTATTGCCGCTTTTATACGCGCCTCAAAGAGGCCCTAAAACTGAAAGTTTTACTGAACAGTGCCTTGATCGATAAAGTTTTTAAACTATTCCAAATTAAATGAAGTATTTCAATTGGTGGTGGCTTTTTGCTGGTGAAATACGTATTCAAACATTTTAATTAAAACAACAACTTGTATGAATTATAATTGACAAATTTTGGCACCAAAATTAGAAAACATCTCTGTGTTTAACTAGTTCTACGCCATTTTCCCTATTAATTCTCGTTCTATTCAAAACAGCAATCTGCTTATTCCTTCTGGTCCATAGCAGCATTCTTAGACAACACAGTATTTGTCCTTTTCTAACACCAAAAACCGCCGTATCTTCAGAGTTACCAAATTCCTTTTTGTTGTAAGTCCATCAATTTTTTTTAAATAGAAAATGTTTTCCACATTTAAGAATATATACAATATTTTAATTTTACAACTTTAACACTAAATTTCCCTCCGCATAGCGTCTACTATAATTGCCACATTCTTCTATCACACAACCAAAGTGTATTACAAAAATACATTTTGCACACAACCATTCATTTCTCACAGCTACTTCATCAAATACTCATTTATGACATACGCGGACATTGGCAACTCTGCCGTCAAGTTTCCATAACACGGGCGAGAAAGAAAGTGCACAGTTTTCTGCTCTCGGTAATTTTCACATAAAAACTTATTCATTTGTTAAATAAACACACAAATTATTAATAAATCTATTTAACATATTCGATAACAAAACGTGATAGTTATTTTCGTTATAAATTGCAGCACTCTGCTTTTTTAAAAAGAAAACTTTTTCTTCCAAGTCTGAAGGTGGGGAAAAAGTGCATAGACAACGCGTACAAAAAACGAGCGAGTATATTTCGGTAAAAGAGAAAGACTAATAGGAAAGAACGAAATCGGAAATATTCCTCTTCGGTACCAAGAAAATTTCTGGCAGTGACAAGATTTTAATAAATTAATTTTTAGTGTATTCCACAAATCCGTGTGATTGATCAAAATTCCAAGTTTTTGTTTTAATTAAACCAGCATAAGTGAACAAATTTGCGAGTTTAAACCCGACTAATATACAAACGGACATATTGTTGAGACTAAAAATCCTTTGATGCGCTCATTACCTACAACCATTGTATAATTTGTGGACTTCATGTGCTTCTATAGAGAATTTTAAGTGCACGAAACATAAATAATACGTGCATATATATACATATATATGTGCATAGGTATATAACAACTGTCGGTGTAAATTCTTTCAGTTTGTTTCCTATTTGTGGCAAGACAAATGTACTCTTTTGTATTAAAATTAAGTGGTTTGAAAAAGTTCATTGCCTCCTATTGTTGACCTGCACCGACGAATAGAAGTATCAATGAATGGCCGAGGGAAGACGAAATTTGCAAACGATATAAAATTGATTTCTTTTAGCCGTTAAAACAATCAACAAAACATTGTGCATCTTCGCCTACGGGAAATAAAGGCATTCAAGTTCGGCCAGCCTCGTATTTTTTGTCGTTGCGTAGCTGCCCTGTTCCTTTGTCTATAAATTCGTTTCCCCTATAGTTGGCAACACCCTTCGTTCAGTTCTGTCATTCATAGAATTTAGAAGAGCAAAAAAGGTGTGCTAAACAAAAGGTAGTGGGTCTCTTGAATTGTCAAAAACTTGGTGGGCGTTGGAAAGAGAGAGAGAGTATGCATTTTATTTTAATTGGAAGAGAGTCGTTCNTCATATATATATGTGCATAGGTATATAACAACTGTCGGTGTAAATTCTTTCAGTTTGTTTCTTATTTGTGGCAAGACAAATGTACTCTTTTGTATTAAAATTAAGTGGTTTGAAAAAGTTCATTGCCTCCTATTGTTGACCTGCACCGACGAATAGAAGTATCAATGAATGGCCGAGGGAAAACGAAATTTGCAAACGATATAAAATTGATTTCTTTTAGCCGTTAAAACAATCAACAAAACATTGTGCATCTTCGCCTACGGGAAATAAAGGCATTCAAGTTCGGCCAGCCTCGTATTTTTTGTCGTTGCGTAGCTGTCCTGTTCCTTTGTCTATAAATTCGTTTCCCCTATAGTTGGCAACACCCTTCGTTCAGTTCTGTCATTCATTGAATTTAGAAGAGCAAAAAAGGTGTGCGAAACAAAAGGTAGTGGGTCTCTTGAATTGTCAAAAACTTGGTGGGCGTTGGAAAGAGAGAGAGAGTATGCATTTTATTTTAATTGGAAGAGAGTCGNGCATATATATACATATATATGTGCATAGGTATATAACAACTGTCGGTGTAAATTCTTTCAGTTTGTTTCCTATTTGTGGCAAGACAAATGTACTCTTTTGTATTAAAATTAAGTGGTTTGAAAAAGTTCATTGCCTCCTATTGTTGACCTGCACCGACGAATAGAAGTATCAATGAATGGCCGAGGGAAAACGAAATTTGCAAACGATATAAAATTGATTTCTTTTAGCCGTTAAAACAATCAACAAAACATTGTGCATCTTCGCCTACGGGAAATAAAGGCATTCAAGTTCGGCCAGCCTCGTATTTTTTGTCGTTGCGTAGCTGCCCTGTTCCTTTGTCTATAAATTCGTTTCCCCTATAGTTGGCAACACCCTTCGTTCAGTTCTGTCATTCATAGAATTTAGAAGAGCAAAAAAGGTGTGCGAAACAAAAGGTAGTGGGTCTCTTGAATTGTCAAAAACTTGGTGGGCGTTGGAAAGAGAGAGAGAGTATGCATTTTATTTTAATTGGAAGAGAGTCGTTCGTTGCGCACCAACAATGCTGCCATGTTTTTCATTTTGGTGAAATTGTGTATAAACAGTTTCATTTTAAAATGCCAGCGTTTTTTCTACGCATTTTGCTGTCAAAATGTGAAATCGAAAGTTACTTTCCCAGAAAGTACTAAATGCAGATTTGCAGAAATCACTTTCGGAAATAAAAGTTGCAAGGTGTAACTGCAACTGAAATTACGCAAATTGCTTTAGAGAAATAATTTCAACTTGATCGTGCTGCACTAGCAATTTTCCATTTAGGCTGCAAGTGCTGTCAAACAAATCGAGTGTTACCTAGTGACGCGATTTTTGCCGAATTTGTATAAGGGCTTGTTCGAGTTGCAATCACAACCGCAGTGTTGCGCGAATTATTAAAGTATCACGATCTGTGTGAATTTCCAGCAATGTGTTATCAGTTGGGCAGTTGCAACAATGTTGCCATTTTTCATCAGTACGGCAGTAATGCCGCTGTTATTACGTGCCTCGAACAGGCCCTGTGTTTTTAAAAATTGTGCATCACATTTAACAAAATACTTGTAATTAATGTACAATGATATGAACAATTTAAATGTATAAGCATCAGACATTTTGTGGTTGTTTTGTGCGCATTTTACCATTTTTAACAAATTTTTTAGGTCAGTAATATTGTTACGAGCATAAAAATGTCTAGTAACTCAGGTGAAAGTGGAATTCTCTGCATTCACTGTGTAGACAAAAGGTAGTTTCGGAAAGTTTGGTTTTCGGAAATAAAAACTGCTTTCGAAAGGCACTTTACATGCAAGATGTAACTGCTCCTGCAATCACTTTTGGGAATTCTTGAGTTTGACAGACATNAATAAAAAACGAAAGTCACTTTACATGCAAGGTGTAACTGCTCCTGCAATCACTTTTGGGAATTCTTGAGTTTGACAGACATTTGAAAAGGACTTGCACTTGCCACGTCTAACAGCTACTTAAGGTTGCCAAATTGGAAAATTTCAAAAACAAGTCGCTTGAGCATGCAGTCAAAGCTCGCTTATGAAGCGTTTTTCGAAGGGTATCTTTTTTTCTGAAAAGCGAACTCGGAAAAATTAAAAAAAATAATGTTTGGCCGATCACACAGCAAATAAATTTTTGCAAGCAGTGGTCCTCGTAACTAGTTTGTTTGTTATTTCTCTTGGTTGTAATTAACTTTACCCCCAATTAGAAGATTAGTTTATTATTATTGGCATTTATTTATAATAATCCTTTTTTACTTATTTCATACAAATTTGTGATCAGTGTCACTGCAAGTTTATAATATATATTAGAATCCGATTTGCACTCTTTCAGTTGCAGTCACTCCTTGGAACTTTTATTTTTTAAACTGATTTCCGAAAAGTATTTCTGGCTGTTCACACGTGAAAGCAATATTCCTCTTTCTAAATTTGGCAACAAATTGCATGGAAAAGATTAAAATACTGCCACGTCTGACACGCTCTATAAAGGCGAATGTGGACGCTGTCAAAANGAAGCAATATTCCTCTTTCTAAATTTGGCAACAAATTGCATGGAAAAGATTCAAATACTGCCACGTCTGACACGCTCTATAAAGGCGAATGTGGACGCTGTCANCTTTCGAAGGATATCTTTTTTTCTGAAAAGCGAACTCGGAAAAATTAAAAAAAAAAGATGTTTGGCCGATCACACAGCGAATAAATTTTTGCAAGCAGTGGGCCTCGTAACTGGTTTGTTTGTTATTTCTCTTGGTTGTAATTAACTTTACCCCCAATTAGAAGATTAGTTTATTATTATTGGCATTTATTTATAATAATCCTTTTTTACTTATTTCATACAAATTTGTGATCAGTGTCACTGCAAGTTTATAATATATATTAGAATCCGATTTGCACTCTTTCAGTTGCAGTCACTCCTTGGAACTTTTATTTTTTAAACTGATTTCCGAAAAGTATTTCTGGCTGTTCACACGTGGAAGCAATATTCCTCTTTCTAAATTTGGCAACAAATTGCATGGAAAAGATTCAAATACTGCCACGTCTGACACGCTCTATAAAGGCGAATGTGGACGCTGTCAAAATGCGAAATCAAAAGTCTACTTTTTCGTGTAAACAGCCAGAAAGTACTAAATTGCAGATTTGCAGAAATCTCTTTCGGAAATAAAAATTGCCAAATGTAACTGCCACTCACTGAAATTACGCAAATCGCTTGCCAGATATATTTTCAACTTGATCCTGCTGCACTAGCAATATTCATTTTTGCTGCAAGTGCGTTCAACCCAATCGAGTGTTGCCATATGATATAATTTTTCTGCAATTTGTTTAAAACAAAAGTTGCATTACATATTTTTCTAGTTACATAATTTATTCTCCTAATATTTACTATTTAAGTATTGAGCATTGCCGATTTTGTGGTTGTTTTGTGTGCATTACAGCGTTTTTAGTAATTTTTCAAAATATCGGATAACATTCAAAAGGTGAAAATTTTTGCCTGTGGAGACCCTCCGTTAGCAAGTTGGATTTTTTTCAAAAGCGATATACGCTCTTTTCCGTTGCAAGTCGCTTTCTTGAAATTGACTCGGGGGAAAAGTTGTAAGTTTACCCGTTTCCATGTGTTGGTGACATTTTTTTTTTTTATAGTTCTAATTTGACTTGTGTATTTTTCAAATTTGGAAACTGTCTGGCATCACCACGTCTCTTCTGGCAGGGACTTCTCGTTTTTCTTCGTCAATTTTTCTTGCGGCAATTTTTCGCTCTTCATTGTTCATTTGGATTTCTTCTACTTTCACACTTCAGTGTAGGAGATTTTTGCATAAAGAATTTTCCAACATCCAAAGGAATGGAAACAATTTCGAAATTGTGTTAAATTGAAAGAATTTTGTGAAAAATAATATATTTAGTATTGATTAGCGATGTGAAATTGATGAATAGAAAAAGTGTGTATATAAAAGAAAATGCGAAAATAGTGAAAGCACATTTCTCTTCAGACATTCGTCCAGCCCACGGATGTGTGTTTAGTACGGGTAGGGGTTGGGAGTACAAGGCGGCGGCGGCGGCCCATAAATTTAATGTTCAACTTGCTCAACTGACTAGTTTATTAAAAAAATATTAAATTTTGACACCGTCTGGCTGCCGTTTTAGCAGACCAAATTGGCTATCGGAGTTGGCCAGCCCAGCGCAGTTTTTATGTTGGAAGCAAAGCTAAATTTGCATAAATAAAAACTTGATTGAGGAGCTGGCCGCCGGTGCGTATACGACGTCGTTAGGTGCTCCATAAATCCTGCAGCAACGTACATATTATTTTTTTTTATCATCTGCTTTCGTTTGGTTATGCATACCCGAACGAGTGCAGAAAAGGAGACGTGTGAATCCTTAAGCACGAGTTGCGTCGAGTAGACAGCAGCTAACGGCCCAGTGTGCGAAAAATTAATTGACCTCATTTGATAAATAGAAATAGTACAGTGTAGATCAAATTGAATGCTTTATTTATATTTCGGGAAAATCAAAAATTTTTGAACACAGAACAAACGAGACGTGCATAGCAATATAAATAGCATTCGAAAAGACGCATGCCTCGTCCATATGATTTCGTAAAAAAGTATTAATATGAAATATTAAGAAAATAACAACTGTAACAAGAAGCAATATCAATTAATTATAATTCTACAAGCGCCATCGGATAGCATCGCATTGTATGTATATTCTATCAAATTGAGTCTCCTAAACACATATTAAATTCTTTAAGGCAGCTAAAATTACACTGATAAAGCGTTGCTAAGGGCTACAAATTGAAAAACATAGAACTGCTTCCTGCAACGCCGGTACTAATTCTAAAATAATAAAATACTACGCATTTCCAACAAGGAGCTCACAAGTAAATAGTGCATATAATTAAAAAAGCAGCAAAACATTCGAAATAAAAAACATCAGCTTAAAAATTATTTCCGATGGGCACTAATTCAGGAGCGACAACTGGTATAAATAATAAACCCGTCGGTGCGGGTGGTGCGAGCGGTAGTAGCGTCGTGGGTGGTGGCGGTGGTGGTGTCAGTGGTGTTGGCGGAGTTGGTAGTGTCGGCACCAACAGTTTGGGCGGTGTTACCGGTGTTGGCGGGCTAACCGGCGGCAATGCTAACAGTGTGGCGGGTACAGGCGGCATTGGTACCGGCAGCAATGGCAGCGATGACTGTGGCAATGGTGGTGGCGGTGGACCTAGTGGTCAAAATAATCAACAAACAACACCACAATACACCATACCAGGTATACTACACTTCATACAGCACGAATGGTCACGGTTCGAGTTGGAGCGCTCCCAATGGGATGTGGATAGAGCAGAATTGCAGGTGAGCCGAATATACAAATTTATACATAACTGATTAGTGTGTGTTAGTTGTTAAATCCACTTTGATATGTAGATATTCATATGTGACTTGCTTGCAGTCCTTTATGGTGCCATATTAGTTACATTTGAGTAACTTGGTAAAGGTTCATTGTCTTATTCAAGCTTCACTAGTTGCA